AAGTAATGGGTTAACTGAAAATGATGAAAATACTTGAAATTACCCTAAATCGCGTTTTTTCATGTTTAAACATGGCCTGTCATATAAATTTGAAGAAAAATTGTTGTTTTGTAGATTTTTTTATTTTTTTCATTAACCCATTACTTCATGAGCATTTTGTGAAAAATGGCTGTTTTCATTGAAAAGTCTCCCGTTACAAGTTCAAATTGCTATAATACTATAAAAACTGCTTCAACACTAATCAAACTTGGCACAAATGTTGACTGGACCATTGCCCTTGCAACAACATGCTCAGGCTTAAATTTTCTGTTACCATGGCAACGAGGGGACATCTCAAAATTGCCAAAAATCAATATTTTGCGTTGATTTTTTCCATCAAAATTGATTTCAAAGTGCTGCAACTTCTCAATGGATTAAGATAGAGTCAAATGCTTTTCAGCGTTGGTTACACGTTACCTTATGATCAATCTGGGGTCATTTACAGCCTCTCACAAGTCCAAAATTTTTCTTGGCGATGAGGGGGACTCCGCCCCCTTCAAACCCCCAAACAGAAGGGGGCACATCCCCCTTCTGGCAACCCCCTGATGTATCTTTTGGTTGGGGGGCCGCGCCAAAAAAGAGGTCACTTTTTAACAACATTTCTCAAACAAAAACAAGTGTTTGGGGCCTAAATAAGGCATTTTTTCATCATTTGAGACAACAGAAAGGGGGGGTGAAAAAGGCGTTAAAAGGCGTGTATATGAAGTAATGGGTTAAATAAAAGCCCTGGGGTCTAAATTGGCCCCGCCCCGGGGGTCATTGATTTTCCTTATATGTGTATGGCAAAAACTTAAAACTCTTCTTTGAAAAAACCCAAATAGCTAGAGCTTAGATATTAAGCATGAAACACAGTTTGTTCAAATAAAAGCCCGGGGGTCAAAACTGGCCCTGCCCCAGGGGTGTCATTGTTTTTACCTATATGTGTATAGTAAAAACTTTAAAAATCTTCTCTTAAAAAACCCAATGAGCTAGAACTAAGATGTTTAGCATGAAACATCTTATTATAGGTGTCTACCAAGTCTGTTCAAATAAACAAATAAAAGCCCTTGGGTAAAAATTGGCCCGGGGGGGGGGGCTATATACAGGTGAGCGACCTCAGGGCCATCATGGCCCTCTTGTTCATAAATGATGATAGTAATGCTCATCGTCTGTCATGAGTTTGAGATGCTTAACTGTTTTGCTGTTAGTTATTATGTCTCCCATTTTATTAACTGATTGATTATAGATAATGTAAATGTCACGATATTAAGCAAAAGAAAGAACAAGAGAAACATAAAATTACATAATCACCGTCAGTCATTTTTATTAATTTTGAACGAGGCCCATTCCTGCATCTTATTTATTTAACTTGTTTATGTTGTGCAAAATTTGTTCTTCGTTTCTTTTGATAAATCATGATAAAATAAGGCTTTAAAATACAATTATTGAAATAATACACATGTTCATCAAATTGTCTATGCGATGAAAACTACTTTAAATTATTTGCTTTTAAACGGAAAAACTGTCTAAAATATTTACAGGCTATCTTTTATCAGCAATTTAAATTGTGTATATGATTATATTTTATTGTATTATTTCCAGAATCAGGGACCGAGATGAACATTATAACAGTTCGCAAATGTCATTTTGTCGTCTGAGATCGATTCTCCTCGCCTCATTGCTAAGAGGAGAATGATTCCAAGCCTTGAGCTTCGATTTATATTTATAATTACTGATGAATCTACTTCCTCAATAAATCTTTGAAGAAGATATTCGTGTATTTTATGGCTTCAGTAATTATATGTATCTGATAGACGGAAAACCAGAACAATTTGTTAAATATATAAATGTAATTATAACTAAAACTAAACACTCCCCGTCATCTTTCTACATTCACTGTTTTGTCTGTTTTAAATGTCTTTTATATCTAATGAATGTTCTTGTCCTTTGTACCTTTGATTGTCCTTGTCCTTTATTGGTATTTATTGGACAGTCACGTATAACTGTTCATTCTTTATCTTTTATTGTACATTTTCTCCGTGCAAAGTTAATATTGATCAATAAACCTCTTTTTTTACCTGTTGATAACAGTGCCTAATTGTTTTGCCTCTATATGTTTCAATAATGCTTGATACACAACGTGGTATAAACTTGGTGTTGTCGGTTGGTCTTAAATCAATGTAACCTTGAAAGTCTCACGTCCGCCACAGATAATAGTGTGGCAAAACAAATTTTCAGTTAATATTTTTAGGATAATTATCAACACAGTATCCTTTCTTAACAAAATCATTTTGGTAATTGTTGTGATTAAGTAAATAAAAAACTGGCTGATTTAGTTTATTTATAGAATGACAGTAGACACAATTGTTGGACAATTTTAACATGTTCCATCCTCTAAGTAATGCTATGCTATATAACATTTAGCAAAAATATTCATAGTAAAAATGCATCGTATAAATCATGGCAATGGGAAAATTCTTGTTTGTTTTTGTGAAGACGTATTTTTTTCTTTTGATTTTCTTCTTATTGTTCCTTTGCTTACAATTGGAATTGGGTTATAAAATGTCGAAAAGATATTTGTTTATCATAATAACGTTCCTCTGCTTATTTAATGTACTGTCAATATCAATTGAAGGACATTCAAGCACAAATGCTGTTTCATTTTGAAGTATCACTATGTACAGTTGTTCTATCTAAATGAGAAACATGTACTACAAGAACATTTGAATAAACATAATAGTATTACATTGATACAACTTTAAACATCATTGCTAAGCAAAATATTTGATTATTGATACATAGACTTTATAATTCATGTCCCAAACATTTAGATAATTACAAAAATGCCGAAAATGTCAATTCATACTGTAAGCCCTTCTTCTTTCTTTCTTTGATGTGATTGCAACTGTACAGTAGTTTTCAAATGAATTATTTTATAAATGGTTTACTTTTAGATATTTTATGTTTTACTAGAATCATTTAGTTGACTTTCCCTTATATAATAAGCAATTTGATTAAACTCGTAATTATTAATTATATCAAACATTGAACTGTTCCAAAGGTACACTTATAATCATAAAGTGCCACACATTATTTGCAACAAAACATGCATATCAAGTATTATACGAAACGCATTATTGTTGCTGTGAAGATATTTGTTTATCAATTTTTTAAAAGGTTTGAAATTTTAAAAACTGATAATAATTATACTTGAAATAATCGTAATTAGTGGTATAACGCTAGGTGGGCGAACAGTGTTAAATTACAACATAATGATTGTACATTACGAAAAAAATCATTTGGAATAAAGTTTAATGAGTAAGTTTTTTGTCTGAAGTATCTGTGCTTTACCTAATTAATTATTTCCTAATTCGTTAGGCACGTGACTTTTCATGTTTTACTTGTTTTCAATGTTGTATTCTTTTCTTGTTATTGTAATGTTTTTACATTTTTTCACTGCAATTGCATGGAAATACAACACTCAAAGACATAATTAGTGTTTGTTTTGCAGTAACCAGAAAATGCATTTTTCGATTCTGATTATTCTGATAAAGTCAATCTTTGCAACAACACCTGGAAATCAGTATTGCAGTCTAGCTTGTTTTTTCCCACGTATCATAAATGACTCACATAATTATATAATTATATTTACTACTGTAAATGCAATATTACTATCATGTCTTATTTAGTATTTTTCATGGCGTTAGAACTAATGTAGGAGGACAAAAACCCAAACTGTTAACACAATCAAACATAATTAAGATATAGACACTATTACTGGTATATTAGCATAGCTTTTAAGGTCTGTTTAATTATAAAAATGAAATTTATTCTTTGTTCTGTGTCCTTTTAGCTTTGAAAGCTTTTCAGGAAATCGATGCTAGAATGTTGCATATATAGAATATATATGCAAAGATAAGCATCAATATGTGTATGACATACATGCCTTCTTAAATCATATGTTTTTATCGTCAACACATGCCTCATTTTATTATGTGCACATGCATTTGCTAATGTATAGGGATAATATCATTTTGGTATCTCCATTAACACTTTTAAATGATTATAGGCATATAAGTTTTGAAACGTTGTAGATATTACATTTCCTAGAAAAAAAAACCCAAGTTACTTACTGTATGAGGTTAAATATTGTTCAAGGAAGTAATAATTATTGATAAGACTCGAGACTATATTCAACGACAAATAAATTTTACTGAGTGGATTCCAATTTGCATAGGAATGAATAACATTGACAGTTAAGCTGTTACCTTGCCACTTTCAAATTTTCAAGTCAACATCTGATAGAGATTTTGATACGACTAAATACTAATATAGACCAAATTCTGGCTGTTGTCTTTCCTAGTAGTAGCATTTACTTTTACATTAGTAACCTTAATTAAGCCCGGTGATGTTGATTGAATAAAGGCATATACATGTAATGGCAATTATGCATTGGTGAATATCTAAACACCTAAAAGGTGTGGTAAACGGTAGGGATGTGCGGTATTACCGGTATACCGGTATACCGCGGTTTCGTTCAGACGCGGTACGTACCGGTACGACCCCTAGGAATACCGGTTTTTTAATATATATAATTTTACATAATATTTTTGTAAGATTCGGACGTTATTTACCCTGTAATCTGTGTTTCAACTTTCAACCTAAATTAAAGTGGAATTCCAAGTCTATTTTCAGAGCAGCAGTAAATGCACAGTATAATACTCTAACGAATAATTAGTCGCGGAAAAGTCGGATCGTTTCCCGGTTGTTTTTCATATTTATTATGTAGTGTAAATACATTTCATCCGCCGACATTTTTATAATTTCTATATATCATTCTTCATTTAAATGCATTAAAAGGGGACACCCATGTTAGTGCTCAGTCTAAGGCTAGTAAACATGTTGACGTATTGACGAGTGGCGACAATAACAAAACGTAAAGCATTTAGACATAGCCCAACTTGTAAACAGCTCATACCGTCATGGACGAATTCACCACGGTCAAAAATCCAAAGGGGAAATCGGATATTTGGAGGCATTTTGGGCTCCAAAAGTCTAAAATAACACAGAAATTAATTGATAATACAGCCGTATGTATGAAGTGTGATATGGTCATAAAATGTTCAGGAGGTGGGACGTCCAATTTATCAGCTCACATTCGCCGACATCATCCGTCATTATTGTCGTCTGCTAAATCATTAAATTCAAGTTCAAAAACTACCACCGCTGATGTTCATGTGGACCAGAAACAAAGTGAGACTGTTTCTTTACCTACAATACCAAAGCTATTTGCGTCAAAGTATGCCAGTAGTTCAGATCGATCTAAACTAATAACAAATAAAATTGCAAGATTTTTGGTGAAAGATCTCCGTCCATACAGTATGGTAGAAAGTCCCGAGTTTAAAGACTTGATCAGTTGCCTTGACCCAAGATATACTGTCCCAGGCAGGAAGGTGTTTTCAGAAAGAATCATACCCGAGATGTATGAATCTGCCAAGGAAAATGTGAAACTTAATCTGAAGAATGCAGAACAGGTAATTAATGTGATGGACTGTGACAGATTATAATTTTATAGTCATTTTTTAATATAACAATAATTAATGAAATATTGTAACATAATAGACTTAAAAAGACATAACTTATAAGTTGACATCAGTTTTCCTTAAAATAATGATTTTTGAAAAAAAAGGGTATCATTTATATAAAACTGCAAAAAGAATTCATATTATATCAAAATATGCATATGATTTTTCTGTAATACGGTCTCAAATTTAGGGTTGATGACTCGATGGCCATCACAGAATGTCAAGTTGCATTTAATTATAAAATTAACGTCTTTTACATGTTCTTGCAAATTTACTAAATTTAGTAAAGGATAATTTTGAACCCATATAGTCTAACAATTTTTTTTCAATAAATTTAGTCAGTTGTATGTAAGTTATGCCTCTAACTAAATGTATATGCATTTCAGGTTTCACTGACGACTGATGGATGGACGTCCTGTGCTACTGAATCATATATGACAGTTACATCAAGCCATATCACTGATAGTTGGGAGTTGAAGAACTTTGTGTTGCAGACCAGGGCACTCCCAGAGAGTCATACAGCAGTGCATGTTACAGCAGTATTAAATGCAGCAGTTGAGGAACGGGCTCTACCAACAGGGCATGGTAAGCCGACTCTAGTTACCGATAATGCAAGTAACATGGTGAAAGCTGGAGAGTTGTTTGGTTCACTTCACCTTGGATGTTATGCTCACACATTGAACATAGCTGTGCAGAAATGCTTATCAGTAAAGAGAGCTAGTCACCTGCTTGCCAAGATCCGTCGAATAGTGGCTTTTTTTCACAGAAGCAACATTGCAAATAATATCCTTCAAGTAAAGGCTGAGGCTCTAGGTCTTCCGCAGCATAAATTGATCATTGATGTTAGCACAAGGTGGAACAGTGCATATGATATGGTGTCTAGATTTCTCGAAATGCAGGTGGCTGTGTTTGCGACCCTTAGGTCAAAAGATGTTGGCAAAGTGAGTGATGTCTCCATTTCTGATGAAGAACTGCTTCTAGCAGAGGAGATGATCAAGTTTCAAAAGCCCTTAAAGGATATCACAGTGATGCTCTGCTCAGAAAACAACCCAACAGTCTCTGTAATAATGCCCTTACAACATCAGATTGTAAACTCCATTTTGACAGGCACAGATACTGAATGCCCGGCAGTGACAGAGATGAAGTCCTTGGTTAAGAAAAGTCTTGAACCTCGATACAAAGGAAGTGAGCAAGTTCTCAATATGTGCTCAGCACTTGACCCAAGATTCAAAATGCTTCCTTTTTTGTCAGATGAAGACAAGGCTGGGGTTTTCAATAGACTTACATCAGAAACAGTTACAGTAAATGAAGTGAGTAAGGTTAAAGTTGAGCCAGATGAGAACCTCCTAACTGAAATTGATGAGCCAGAATTACCAAGTTTGCCTTAAAATACAGAGAGAGATAGTAAACCAACTGAACAAGAATCCACCCAAGGCCCACCTTCAAAGAAGATCAAAACTGAAACAAAATCAATATCAACAAGCATGAAAAGTGCAAAATCATCAGTATTTGGAGAAATCTTTGGTGATGTCTATATTTGTGCAGTTGAGCCACCCAAGACACCTCTTCTTCTTGCTCAGGCTGAAGTACAGCAGTACAAAGAATGTCCACCAATTCCCTTGGATGTGAACCCTTTGCAGTGGTGGAAAGATAATGAGCACAAGTTCCCTCTTCTTGCTCGGGTTGTTAAGAAGTACCTGTGCATTCCAGCCACTAGTGTTCCATCTGAACGAGTCTTCTCTACTGCTGGAGATATTCTTTGTGCCCAGAGGTCACGTCTTAAATCAAAACACGTTGACAAGTTGATTTTCCTAAAGAAGAACTTGCTATAAATGTCCCGCATAACCATAGCCGGCCTTCAAATTATTCTAGACAATGGTCATGCAAACCAATGAAACCATGTGCTATTAAAAACTTAAGACAATAGAGGAGTCTTCATGGGAATTGCCATTTTTCTGTTTTAGATTTTGTTGAAAATATTATCAAGACAATAAGGTTATTTTCTTCTTTCTTTTATTTATTATTTTCCAGTCAGGTAGACAGATGTTAGTTGAAAGAAATAAAGATATTAATCTGTTTTTCTAAAATGTATTGTGTTTTATCAAAATGTTTAAACATTCTTATGGCAGTTGGTAGTCTTAGTTTGCATAAGTTAAACATTAAAAAGTGTCTTCATAATACCGTGGTACATACCGCGGTACACAGGTGAAATACCGCGATATACCGCGGTACAAAAAAATTGGTGGTACCCATCCCTAGTAAACGGAAACGTTCTTGTTTCCTTCTTGTCGCAGACGGTATATACCGAAAATAAGCGGATAAATACGTTTATGTACGATAGTGTAGTGGACGGGAAAATGGGCGGAGCTTATTTTATCTCCTATCGAAAAACATGTAAAGCTTGATTATGGTGATCCGAATCATAATGGTTTGACAATGTAAAGCTAAGAAAGAAACTTCTGTTTTGTCGGCGTATACACGAACAATGAGTATTTCGCATGTTATGATGAACACTTGGTATTGCTACTATCAGAAAAACAGTTAATGTTTAATCGTTAACAAAATGTCTTTTGTTTAAATACATGTTTACAATGTTAAATCGGCAAACTCAATCCAAAAATGCAACATTGAAGTTTATATAACAAAAAATACAATGGCATTTTGTCCGTTAATAAACTGTTCAACTCAAATCAACAAGGCTGGATTTTTGGCAACAAATAGCCTCCATAATTTATTTTAGTCATTATGTCATTTGGTACACTGCCAAGCTTTATTTTATCTTAAAGGTCAATCCTTAAAAAATATCCAGCTTAATTGTGTAAACAAAATGTATGGGAGAAAAAAGTATTTCATCAGACTCGTGTTCTTGCTATAAAAGCAAACTTATGTTTTGTCAAATCTGATTAAATAAACAATTGAGACTCGTTACTTTTTTCAGAATAAAAAA